CTTACCAACATTAAAACTAATGAGAGGTAGTAAATACTTTGTCAGTTACTTGGTATGGCATTTATTTGCCCTTTTTTGGTTCCCAAAGGAAATCTGAAATAGAGTACTATGCCATGTTGGCAAAGACTGGTGTCCATCACTACAGTGGCAATAATATTGAATTGGGCACAGCGTGTGGAAAATACTACAGAGTATGCACACTGGCTATCATTGACCCAGGTATGCTTTTTAAATCATATTTTTTCCCCTTTATAATGTAATACAAGTGCTTGCTATACAAATATCTTTGGTTCCAGAGTTGAGATGGTGAGAATTTGGATATATTAAGGGATACCAATTTCACAGAGAATTGATAATGAATGTCAGTACTTTGGTTTTGTTATAAGTTATTTTTATTTTGAGATTGTGTATTTCATTTGCTCTCTCAAATAATGATTTAGGACCTTGGTAAAAGATGAAACTAGGAAAGGGAGAATAATCAGATGAATAGAGGAATGTAATCTTTACTGGCTGCTTAAACAGAGAGGTAAAATTGGTTGAAAGAAGTTAACTCTTGAACAACACAGGTTTGAACTCCATAGGTCACATATACAGATTTCTTTCAGTGGGTTTCGCATCCATGACAACTACAGAACAAAGACAGTATTTTCAATCCATAAAGCTGACTTAAGTTATACACGGGTCAGCACCCTTAATCCATGAGTTGTTCAAGGGTCAACTGTACACATGTTGTTTTGAACTTAGGAATTTATAATTCATAAAATACTGCGAATATTCTCGCTGTTCTGATTTTGTAGTGATCAGGGCAGGCTAAACATTCGCTATATTAAGACCATGCATGTGTCCCCAAACCTAGTTCTTGCCCTAGGTCTGGTTTTATAAATGCTGGTGATAAATCAAATCTTGATTTATATGATGCATCTTAAGTCACTCTAGGTGACTTTGATCAACCTCAGGAAATGACAGCACAGCTACAATAACTTAACGATAACTACAGCTAATTTCATGATTATCAGTTGCCATTAAATGAATTGTAAAATTATTACTGTTTTATTTTCCAGGTGATTCTGATATCATTAGAAGCATGCCAGAACAGACTGGTGAAAAGTAAATCATGCAAAATTTTCTTTAATAAAACTGGCCAGAACTTGGTTTAAAAACTGCATTCATTTTTGGTTATTTTTATCTCTCTCTGTTTCAGTACACTCTCTAAAGATAGGATTAGAGAGGATGAGGTAGCTAGATGTGGTGACAAGACTTTCAGGTTAAGAGCCGTAAATTCCAGTTTCCACACTGAGTTCCGTTCCTGTACTGGATTTTTAAGAGACTCAATTTTCATAATTCCAATCTCAGGACATTAGTGGCATTTTATATTTGAATGTGTTTGAGAGGCAGCAAGGTTCAAAACCCAAAATTTAACCAGAATTGCAATTCATAGTTCAGCTTAAATCTACCAAATCTGAATGGCAAAGAAAATTAAATGAAATATGTTCCCTCCACCCCAACTTTTGTTACTGCGTATTATATTTCCCAAGTATGTCCCATGCAACCCTTTTCCCACATCTGTTAATATCCCTTGGACAAACATTCAGAGGAATTAATTGGGGATGGGTACTGATTTATATACATCTTGATTTGCAGAGCTGAATGGTGCTGGTAAGGTACGCCCTCCAGTCTGCATGGGCTCTAAGGGAGGTTGCAGAAGTGTCAGAAATGAGCATGAGTTTAGAACCAAGCAGTTCTGTCAGAAAGGTTTTGATGGTAGATGAGTGAAGACGAGATGAGGGTGCCTTTAATTATCTAGAAAGTCAAGTATTTACTGAACTGGAGTCAAAAGACTCCCTCTGATAATAGTTGTATGACAGCTGTGGGTGGTTCAAATTCCCAGTTTCACAAGTGAGGGAATTGGCCTTTTTCAGTCTAACATTCAATGATTTTTGTGTCTGAAGTTAATCTGAGTTTGGATATAGTTTGAAGATAAGCTGTTAGGAACTAGTTTTCTTACTGGTTGTTAAGTTAACTCAGTATTTCTCAATTTGGGAGCACTACTGACATTTCAAGGGGATGATTCTTTATTGTGGAGGGCTGTGGATACTGCAGGACATTTCTTATTCCTGGTTTTCTATGTCATTAACAAGTGTCATCCCACAATTTCAAAGTAGCATCTCTTGTGTAAGAGCCACAAGAGTTACATAAAAATTTGTAAATGTCCTAATGTGCTCATATTTGCATATCTAAACTGGCGTGCCCAAGGTGGTGTAAAATGTTTGAAATCTTGATCCTTGATAAGAATTGCTTGGCATACTGCTGGTTTAATGTTATTAGTCTGTTCTTTTAGTTAAGGAAGTTTATGTACTTTTCTACCTACTTCGTCAATTTCTCCTCTTAGCTTGAACTTGCAGCTAGTTAGGTTATTTGTTCCTCTGGGTTGACTAGTTCCAAATTAATTTCTTAAGGGGTGGTGACCTGAAGAATACAGTATTGTAGGTGCCAGGGTACCATTTCTTTGCAGTGGTTCTGTTGCATGACCCGAGCTGGAGGCATTTTTAAATTAAGGATTTTAGAAAATACTTTGATTCCTAGGGTATTCTCCTAGGTGGTGATAATATGCTATAAGATCATCTGGCTTTTACCTTTTTATATGTGCTTGTGTACTCACCATTGTTTTTAGCAAGAAAGGATTTTAAAGTTCAAGAAAAAGTTTAAAGCAGTAGACAGAAAACACCTAATTTTGGTCTGAGGCAGCTGTGATGAAATGCCATTCAAGTGTTGCCAGAATTTAAAAATGCCAAGATCTGGGAAGGTCAAAGGTAATATGTTTAAATGTTCACTTCTTATTATAATAAGGGTAATGTTTGGCTGGAACGCTCTAGTATGTATGGGAAGGAAGTTCCAGCCTATTAAATTTAATCCATACCTATGCTGAGAGACTAAAAGAAGATATCCCAAAGAAAAGGTTGAATTTTGAGTGTTACTTGTAATCCTTATGGTATGGTAGCAGGAGCAAAAGGTAAAGAAGAAACCAAACTTGAGGCTGATCGTCATTGTAGTTAGTTGGACATTCTGGAAGATGGTCATCTGGTTCATGGAAAACAATCTCTTGTGCAGTTCTTCATTTCCAATTTAGATTTACTGTTCTCTGTGGTTGCAGAAACATCTGGTTTCCTTCCCCTCTTTCAGGTTACCTCAGCATCCTCTTCCAGTCTAGATTGGGTGCCTCTGAGTTACCATAGCATAGAACCTCATTTATGGCATTAATCACATTTGTCTCTCATTAAACTGAGGTCTCAGAGCACGGGGACTTAACATTTTCAACTTTTTACCATTTATTATGTGACTGGTACATAATAAAAATTCAAAAAACCAGAATGAATGATGACTTTCAGGGCTTAAACAGTTACTTAATTCTCATTGATATGCTTGTGGCTTTTTAGTCCAAAATTTTATCTTCATCTTGTTGGTAGCAGATCTTGAACGTCTTGTACATTAACCATTATTTAATGTACTATCTTCTACCTGTTTGCTTCAGAAGATAATTTAGGGGTGGGAATCTGCCCAAGTGCTTGACTCAGATAAGGTAATCAAAGAATTAATTCACTCAACATACACTTACGTGGCACCATCTTTGTGTCAGATACTCTTTACTGCTGAATAAAAATAAGAGCTAATGAGCATTTAAAATGTGTTGTAATCTTAACCCATTTGATCCTCTTGACAATCCAATAAGAAAATACAATTAGGGCTTGCAAAGGTCACAATAAATAATGAAACTGGAGTGCAGAATTGAACATGATACATACAGATAAGGGAAATGGAGAAAATTTTCCAGTTTTAGATAATCTTCAAGTTAAATATCTTGGATTAATCTGTAAATTTGATGAATTGGTTGGAGTCCTTTGTTTCTTGTGAGGCACTTTCCTCACCACATAGGAAAAAGTTGAAAATCCTCTTAATGAAATGTGTTTAATAGCTTAAAAAAATGGGAGCCAGGGCAGTCTAGAGCCACTAGTGGGAGCCAGAACTCAACAGAACATGAAGTAGAATAGAGCCAGTTACGTCTTGAAAGGTAATGCCAACCCAAGTCGATCCTTCCTAATGATATTTTGTTTTCTGGACCAAGTGGATGACTATAAATATAAACTAAGGGTTTTAGACTTTGAATCATACCTTTTATACTTGGAAAGAATATTTTCAGATATGATGTGAGGCCTAGATGTTCTTCCTACTGTAACATTGCCCTTTGGGAGGACATTCTGATGGAAATGCTTGTCTTGAAATATTTAAACATAAGTTTATTCAAAGTATTTTGTTTGTAAGTCATCATCTGTCCTCCAAAATCCATGGGAGGATGACATCTGGGTGTCTTCATTTCATAGTGAAGTTGCCATCTGAGGTTTGCTGCTCTAGATGCCTTGACCTGACACACCTGAAGTCTCCTTTGTCCTTGTCCCTATTCCCACTTCCTCATTTCCCAGGGACAACTGCTATTGTGCATATCCTTCCAGAACATTTCTTATATAGTAATGTTTGTGAGTTTTCTTTAAATTTACAGAAATGATACTCTAAACACACTTTATTGTTTAAATTCAACTTTGTTTTTTAGTTTAACCATGTATACATGTAGATGTAATGTCTTCTCTTCCTTTTAAATGCTGTATATTATTTCTGAGTTATGGATTGTGCCACACTTTATCGGTTACCCTTCTGATGATTAGGTTATTTCTAATTTGTTACTTTGAGAAACTCGCAACATTTGCATTTTCACTAGCAGTGTGCAAGAGCCCCAGATTGCCACATTCCTACCAACACATGTTACAGACAGACATACTCATTTTTGACAAGCTGCTGTTTGAACCTGCGTTTTCCTGATTACCAGTAAGATTCAACATTTTTTTCATATGCATATTGGCCATATCTCAAGTTTACATACCTTGCATTTAAAGTTAAATTAAGAATTTTACACAGAATACCATTCTCTGAAATGAATTTTAATACTGTATTTTAAAAAACCCAACTTGTTACACAAGTATGTGTCCTATGATTTTATGCATACATCCATATACATATATCAAGGTAAAGTCCACTACAAAAAAAATAGCTTCTCCTATGGCCAGTGTTCTACAGAAGTAAGACCGTGCAAACTTTACTCTGTAGTCAAATGTGATTGCAACACTCTAAGGCAGGACATGGCAAAAGCAAATCATGTCCACAGTATGTTACAGATTATCTTGCGTAGCTTCTTTGTTCTCACATGGAAAATTCATTTTAGGATTCTTTATCTCCTTAAGTTTATACAAGATAGTGTCTACTTTTTTGCCTTTGTGCCAAAGCAAACCAGCTTTCTCAGTGCCAATTATGTTTACTTGATGACCTTACAGAATTAGCATAGCCTGAGCTCGGGCTGTGAACTGCTTTCATTGTAACCCTTGATCCAATGGCACACAAATACGGAGTACTTCCAGTCTTCATCTGTATCTCAGGCGGTTTTCCAGGGCTTCCATCCTCTGTATCATTTCTTCTAGTATATCAAATTAAGGAAGAGGAATCCCAATTGCCTATTTTTGTTTACATTTAAATATAACTTGATTTGCCTACATAAAAATTTGTCCTAAAAAATATAAGGCTTTCCCCCCCCATTTCTGTTAAGTATTTTAAAACCCTGACTTGTAAGTTTATAGTAACTATTTAACACGTTCTACCAAGCCTATAAATCTTTTTTGGAGTTAAACATCAAAGCGGGATAACTCAGTTCAAATTCTTTTTACTTTCTAATTTCAGATCACACCTCTGTTGCTTATAAATTAGTTTGCCTCAGCACACCTCTTTGAGCCAGAATTGATAATGTTGCTAATGTGGTAAAGAGAAAAAAACAAGGGTTAGGTCTTGGAAAGTAAGATATGAAATCAGGAGAGAGATGGGGAGTTTTCACTTATGATGCCAGATAAGGCCAAAGGGTAGCAATCTTGAAGACTGCTGACATGCTCTTTTATATGTAACTCCCTTAGTCTCTTGTGAAACAGACCCTCAGAGTGGGAAAAGGAAGAGGGAGAGGTGCGTTGGAATAAGCATTTGTCTTCCTCCCTATAAACTGTAATACCCTCCACCCACCCCGTTGGTGGCAGAAGAGAGCCCAGATTCATCACCTGTGTTACCTTCCAGATTATTTTTTTAGGGGGCCATAGTTCCAGTTTTCAGGAAAGGAACTGCTATATGCTGTTCCTGGTTATATAAACCCATTGGCACATAGATAGTTCTGAATTAAACTATGTATTTCCTAGTTGATTGATCCGTGTTGAGATAGATACAAGCCAGCTTTAGTAAACTGACTAATAAGTTCAGAGCAGTTGGCAGGCTGTTCAGTGTGTAAAAGTGCTAAATCTTCCTTTCTCCATTATCCCAAAGCATTGCTTTTATGTATAATATTGTTTTAATGAATCATTGGATCCCGCTGTTCCCTTGGTGGAATGTTTCATCATAGAGTGCTGATATAAAAGATCTTTGCTGCCAAACCCAAAACAAAAAACCAACCCCAGTCCTCTAGAAACTAAACACTGACCAAATGTGGCTACAATGTGGGTTGGGGCCAAAGGAAACGTTTGGCATTTAGATGGAGTTTGAAGCCTCTTCATTCTACATCCTTTGCTCCTAATACTGTACCTTTGGTATACTTCAGATCAGTACATATCTTCCATTTTCCCCTAGCAGACAGGGAGTTAATTAAATATGTCTGTTCCTTTCCTTTGCACACTTGACTGGCTGGCCGGCCTTATTGTTAAACCCTCTAGAACAGCAGTCAGCAACTAAGTGTTTGACCCTTGCCACTAAGCACAGCTTGCCTTGGCTCTCAAACACCTATCGGGCTGCTTACAAAAAAAGCCTCTCCTGGAGTTCACTATTCTTGACCTTATGAACGTGACTTCATTTGGTACATACCCACATAAAGTACTTGTGACGTTTCGATTAGTCTTTGCATTTCATAAAGAAGCGCAATACTAGAAAAGGATATAGCGTTGTGTTAATTTTCTTACTTCTTCATTTGCAAGGTTCTGGAACATTATAAGGTTTTCACATTTGCATTGATCGGGGTTTTCTTCCAAGGGACTTCCTGAGAAAGCAGATGGAAAGTGTTCACCTCTATAAACCCACCAGATTTCCCAGATGCATAATAATAGGACCTAATCAGCATATGGAGGAAACCACAATGAAAGAAATAAATGTTCAACTTTTCCATGCAGCCAGAGCCAGTAAATCCCAGGAAGGGCTTCCAACACGGAAGTGGCCTTTATTGTGGATTGGGGGAAGACTACTTCAGTTTTTTGTTTTTAGTTCTCACTTTATTTAAGTTCTTCTCTTTTCCCCATCCTATTTCCTACTTCCTCCTTTCCTTTCCGTTTTTTAAACTGAGTTTGTTGGAGAGCCAGAGGATGGTATCAAATTAACCTACAGTAATATTTCACTGGGAATTACCTGAAGATTTGGTGGAATGGAACAGTTTTTGTGTAGACCGTGAAAGACTGTCTTCTTCAAACAGATATCTGTGTTGCACTGCAAAATTAGAACAGGAAAGTAGGTCTTGGATATTTATGGTGACTGGCTCAGATTCTGTAAAGAGAGAGAAAACCGAAGTCAAACCTGCTTAACTCGGCTGTGGTATAAAAAGCCACTAGCTGTCAGAGCAGGGTACTTGTTGTTCCTAGCATGCGGTACACTACTTCGGGCAAAACTGTGGCAATAAGTATTAGAGAGGCTATTACCAGATAGGGCTTAAGGTGTACAGTCAATGTTTCCTATCTGATTGAGGGAAAAAAGCCACAGTTAATATAATTCAAATCTTTCATTTCTTTACAACTTTTGTCTTGGGGGGGACCATGGTGGAAGCATCCACTAAAGGTTCTGAGAACACGGCTTTTTAAAATTTACCTGTCGGCTGGTGAACCCTCTTTGGCAATTCCCTGGCTGGGGAGTCCTGACTTCCACCAGAGTCTTCCAGAGCTGAGAGGAGAAAGATGACCAAAAGGAGTGACAGTTGTGTGCATGCACACACGTGTTCTTTAGGAACGTGGTCCCAGACCAATCCTTACCTACCTGCCATAACCCAGGGTATTTTGGTTTTACTGGTAACACCACAGATTCAAAAAGCAGTTGATTACCAGAATAATCCAAGACCACTCTAGGGCAGTTCTCTACTGAGGGAAGAAGCCTGGACCCCTTAAGTGCATCATATTTAAAAATGCCCCCCAAATATGTCTAGAAGGTGGGAGATAAAGTTATTAAAGTTGTCCAAGCATTAATTAGCAGAGGCCTTTAAACTTGAATGAAACAGTCTAGAGGCAAAACATCATCTATTAATATTAGAACTCTGAAAGGCCTTCCCTCCCGGTCTCCCTTCCTCTCGCTGTGTTTTTCTTAGAGGAGTAAGATATATCACTTAGACTGGGATTGTATTGGTGATTGAAACTGGGACATGAGTAAAAGGGAAATGGGCAGAGCTGCTGTATGTCAGCATGCCTCACAGAAGCACAGTCAGCTGGAGAAATGATAGGGGGCCCTTGTGCATAACGAAGTCTAAATTCTAAAGCGCAGTCGAATGTCCTGTAAGCAGAGGTAGCCCATGTAGGGAGACATTCTTTAGTTTTAAACAGTGGGCTTGATAGGACTACCATCCCTTTCCACTCCAATAAAGGCATATCCTGAAATGCCGTACCAGCTCTCCTGATTTATATAAAAGTTGTTTCTTTTTTTTATTCCTCACCCGAGGATATTTTTCTATTTATCATTAGATAGAGTGGGAGGGAGGGAGGGAGAGAGAGAGAAACAGAAAGAAACATCAATGTGAGCGAGACACATCAATTGGCTGCCTCCTGCAACCCGACCAGAGCCAGGGATGAACCGCAAGTGAGTTATGTGCCCTTGACTGGAATCAAACCCTAGACTCATTGGTCCACAGGCCGACCAATGCTCTAACCACTGAGCCAAACTGGCTAGGGCATAAAGGTTGTTTCTTTTTGTTTGTTTGTTTTTCTTTATTGATTTTAGAGAGAGGAAGGGGTAGGAAAACAAACATCAACGAGAGAGAACATTAATTGGCCACCTCCAGCATACCCCCCACTGGGGATCAGGCCCACAACCTGGACATGTGCCCTGACCAGGAATCGAACCAGGGACCTCTTGGTGCATGGGTCGACACTCAATCACTGAGCCACACCGGGCAGGCAAAGGTTGTTTCTTAAATAACCATCTCTATAGGTTTTTCTATAAGGATTAAATACTCCGGTGTGTCAAAACACTATTACCCTGCTCCGCACAGCAAGCACCAAGCAGTGTTGGCTGTCACTTTTGTCTTCTCTCTCCCCTCCTCCACCTGCTGGGCTTAGTGTTTACAGGTGTCACTGGCCCTGCACTCCAGGGAAGCACTGTTTTGAGTATTTTGAAGGGATGGGTTGATAATTTCTCACTCAGGGTTCATGCTGCCCCGTTTGCTAAGATCTCTCCTAGACATAAGCTACAGTACCTTCACATATGCCTTTCTTTAATTTTTCACTTATCTCGCCCATTGTGCTGAAGTCTTCGGCATAGAAGAGATGCTTGTCTGTGGGCTTAGAGGCAATCTCTTGCAGTTCTTCCTCAATGGCTTTCCCTACCCCGACAGCATACATGGTTATACCTAAGGTGCAGAGCAAAGAACAAGGTAGTTAGAGTTGTGTTCCCACGAAGTTGTATGTCTTGAAGTTGTGTGTACTGCACCCAAAGCCAGCTAGAAGGTAAGAGGTGTGATTTCCATGTCAACCTCACTTTATTTTTTCACCATGTTTATTTTGGCTCTGTAAGCAAAAGACAGGGACCGAAGAGAGGAAGGTGAGGCATCTAGGAGAGTGGGGGAGTTAGACCATCCATCCACCTGTTGTTCAGCTCTGGGCAAGGTCATTTAACAAATCTGAACTTTTCCTTGACTTAGCCTTGTGGATAAAACAGAAAAGAGCACTATCTTGAGGCACTGAATGGGGATCTTTTCTGGGAGAAGTCTAAGAAATAGGCATTTCATGACCTTATAACCTAGTTTCTATTTCTCAAAGGTATAGGACTGCAACCTTAAGTGGCCTGGGGTGAGGTGAAGCTGCAATCTGCCCGCCCCTCTTGGGAAGACATAGCCCTGTAAGGAGGTGCTCAGCTAAAAAGGAGAACCCACAGACCACTGGATCCCCAAAGACACAAAATAACAAACAAACCCAAGAATCCACGTTAGATATCAAAAGCAATAGATTGCTCCAAAAGCTTTTCTAAACAATATAAATCATTAGGCTCGCCTTCCCCATATAATCTTTATTTGAAAGTAAAGCATCAAAACTTAAGTTCTACTTGATTGTCAACATTTTTCAGCACTGATATTCTGGCTAATTCGTTAGACTAAATTTTTAAAAATACACATAAGAATGGCTCTTTAAGCCAAGGGGCAAGAGTTATGCCTTGTTCTAAGTCTGTGTAAGGTCAATAGCCAAGTTCAGCATATTTGTCTAGGAGCCCAGAGAGTTTATGTACAACTTCCTAAAAAGGATAACTATTATTTTAAGATTGTGTTAGCTATCTATAGGAATAATTAAATTCATTAGAAGATATCACTTCAGATACATTTGTTGGTTCAAGAACCAAATAAACATGTGTTTCTCCCACCACCTGCCTTTGGGTGATGTGGAAATGTGAGCTGGGGAAAAGTAAGGTAGGCGGATATCAGTGTGACAAATAAAAGGGGTAACCACTGTCTTTGGAGACACGATGTTTTCCCCAGCATTTAAGAGTACAGGCTGTAGGGGCCTATGGGTTTGACAGGAGCTTTACCAGCTCGTCTAGAAGCAGAGGAACTGGACTGAGCAGCCACCCAGGTGATGGAGGCAGGAAACTTTTTTGTGGCCACCACTCTTGGGCTCAGAAAAAGGTTGTGAATAGTGAGAGAAGCAGTATCAACAATGGCCCCTTCACAAAGAGTGTTGGATGCTGATGCGAACCAGCCTTTCTGTGGAGGGAACGGAGTTCATGAATGGGATCGCTAGCACCTTCCCTCCTTTGCTCATTCACTCAGTGCAGTCACGCAAGAACTACGTGCCCGGCACTGGGTTCAGACAGTCCTGGATGAAGCCCTGGCCGGTGCGTATCCTTTCCTGACTTGTAGGACCCGCTAAAGCAATGTGCTCTCTACAAGTTCCTAAAGAAAGTGGCTTTTAAGCAAGCTGCTTCACAACCTCAAGTGTTCTCCTCTCCCCAAGGAATCCAGACACTCTGCCTTAAGCTCTTTCTATCAACCATCCTAGCTTTTGGGTTTTCTCTCCCAAGGGCCATAGTCCTCTGCCACCCTTAACATCTACCTACTAACGTACCCTAGTCTCTCCTGCACTATATACAAGGCGACCTCAGGGAAGAGGTGAATTCTATTGAACAACGAGAGCTTAGAGTCACAATCTCCTCCAACAGTTTGCTTTTCTCAGCAGCCAACTTCTGCCTCTTGCAAACACAAGAATACTTGCTCTCCTAAGGCTGTTGTGCTTTCAGTGTTCACTTGCAGTATTGGTTTTTTAAAAGGTATCAGTAAAAGTTCATCCCACCAGGGGTCTATTTTTACCAGTGTTCGGGGACTGTTGTGTGTTTATCTGTGGTAAATAGCACTTGCAGGATTGACGCTCTCCACTGGAGACCACACACTGGCTGATGAGGTGCAGAGATGACTCAGGTGTGGTCTGTGTCTGCAGTCAATCGCCTGGTCTGCAACACTTGCATCCTTCCTGTCCCGTAACTCCCTGCAAAGCCGCTAGATGGCAGTTCAGTAAAGGTGTCTAACAGCGGTTAGGGGCCTTTCTGTGCTCAAAGAAACTCACTCTGAGCAACCTGAACCATGAGTGGTGAAAGGCCCACCTCCATCCCATATTACCATTGGCCTTGGCTTTACTGGCCCACTCGGAGACGTCGTCCTGAGCCCGTCCGTCTGTGAACACGATGGCCACGCGGGGCACCCGTGCCGAGAGAGGCCTGGCCCCTTCTGCTTGGGTAAAACTTCTCTCAAACATGTGTTTCAGGGCCAGCCCAGTCATAGAGCCCTTGCCCATGTATTTCATGTGGGCCACGGCCTTCTTCATGTCCTTGGCCGAGCTGAAGTTTCTCAGGGTGAACTCTGTGCGGACCTGCGTGGAATACTGGAGCAGCCCCACTCGAGCAGCTTTGGGGGAAATCAGCAAGGAATTTATAATTCCAGTGACGAACTGCTTCACAATCTCAAAATTATCTTCTCCGAGGCTCTTTGATCCATCGATCACAAAGACCAGATCAATTGGGCCTTCGGAGCATCCTATAAAAATGAAAGGAAAATTGAGATAGATAAATGCTTTAAAAAATTTATTTATGCACAAGAATAAGAAAATTATGCTTCAATTGGAGGCATCACCACTTTGGAGAAGCACCTTTGTTCTTTCGATAACATACAGACAGGAGGTGTTGGGAGAGACGCACAGTAGAGGCATAAATTGTCTAGGGAACCAAGTGCACGCTACCTGGGCCACTGACAGCCAGTCTGGGAAGGACTGTGTGTAAAGTGCGCTGAAGAGTCTGACAGCACCCACAAGATCCCTGTAACTTTACTCCAGGAGGGTGACATCACCCCAGTGCTGGCATTCTGACAGACAACAAAGAAGGAAATTCTTTTTTTTTTTTTAATCCTCACTCAATATTTTTTCCATTTATTTTAGATAGAGTGGAGGGGAGGAAGGGAGAGAGAGAAACATTGATGTGAGAGGGACACATCGACTGGTCGCCTGCCCGCACAACTCTGACCAGGAGCAGGGACAAACCACAGCCAAGGTACTTGCAGGCCCTTGGATGGAAACAAACCCGCGACTCTTTGGTCCGTGGGCAGATGCTCTAAGCTCTGAGCCAAACCAGCCAGGGCAAAGAAGGAAATTCTTAAAATTCAGCTCAGCCATCACCTTTTCCAGGGGACTTCACAGTAACCCAGCTTGTATTAGTTACTCTCTGTGTACCCCTCGCACTCCAAATTTATTTTTAAAAATCTGCTTATTGAGCATGTGCTCCATGCAGGGCAGTAGGCGCAGCAAGACTGCAACAGTGACCAGGATGAAATCCTGACACCAAGTCACTTATCATCCAGTGCACTGTGCAGTAGCTGATCATGTCTCCTCACCTGGCCTGCCAGCTCCTCCACATCAGGCCAAATCTCATTCATTTCCGTACCCCCAAACCTGGCACACCTCAGGTATTCAATAAATGCCTGTTGACAGAATAAAGGAGGTGCTGTCCATTAGGTAGCACACCCTACTGACCTATTAAAACTTAAGAATGAATTATCACTGTGAATTCTGTATCTACCCAAAAGCTTTCCAGGCAACTCAGATGGTTGACAGTAAAAGCTTTATGCAAATACTTAAGCAATCTGGGTGTGGAGAGATTTTTTTTTGTTACTTAGGGCTGCCTAAGACATTTACAGATCCCAAATGGATGATCTCATAACACTCTCTTTTATATATCAAGCAGCTGTCTAATCTTTGAATGTGAAGTACAACAATACAAGCGAGTAAAGGCACACTCGTGCAAAAATAGTTCTATGCCTGGCCTGAATAACATACTGAGTAATTGTGTGTGTGTGTGCAGGCACACATGTGCGTTGGGGGGTTGGTTCCTCTCTTTCTCCATTAAGTGCTTGTCCTCATTACTCAACTTATTGATTCGTTATTAGTGAAAGAGGAAAAGGCCAATTCAGAGCTTCATTTACATTCACAGCCTGTTCCTGAATCAACCAAAAAAACCAACCAACCAACCAAACAACCACTCAGGTAGAGTGCGTGTGGACCTCTGGCAGATGTCAGAAATCCTGGAATGACTTTCTAGCCATGAGTCTGTTTTCTCCTCTTCTTGCAGAACAAAACCAGCAGGCTCCCCGTACAGAGGGGCACAGAAGGCTTCTCCAGGAGAACGCTAGGTGGAGTGAAGGGCATCAGGATGAGAGGTGCCAGGCTTCTGCTGTCAGATCCAGGAAGGATGCAGTCCTGCTTGTTGGCTACCTCTTTGCAGGAGGGTCATTCCAACTTTCCTTGGGCATTTTCTTTGGGGTAGTTAAGTCCATTGATTTGCTTTCAGGACTTACTTTTCACCTAGTTCTAGAATTTCAGGGTTGAATAAGACCTTTAAAGGTCATCTAGTGCAGCTCCCCGGTTGTGTACATCTTTACAACAATCCTACCCAGCAGCTGGGCCTCTACACCTCTCCCCTGATACCCCACCATGGATGACGGTAGCTGTCATTGGTCAAGCACTCAGAATGTGCCAGCACTGGACTAAGCACCTTTAAATATATGATCTTATTGATTCCTCATAGATGAAAAAACTGAGATGCAGAGAAGTTAATCTGTCCAAATTCACACACACGTATGAATGGGGATTGAAATCCAGATCTGTCTGACCCCAAACTCTAGATCTTTACTAAGTAATCACACAGCGACCCTGAGAGAAATGCTGAGTGGCAGCTTCTCCTGTGTCCTTTCCTTCCTGGGGCAGGCAGAGGTCACAGAAATCTTAAACGAGGTGACGGTCACTGTGGTGTTGGAATGGTATAGTACCTCAAGTCTTTTTTGCTACAAAAACCCCAGTTTCTTCCTTTATTTTTCACTTGTCACCATACTGAACTTTCTCACCACAATGCTTTCTAAATTTTGTTTCTATCCTTTATCTCACATTTTTTTCTATAAAATAATACATGCACATGGAACAAAACTCAAGCATTACAAAAGAGTACATATGTGTGTGTGTATCTCTCTCTTACACACACACACACACACAAAATATATCAATGGTAATATACTATAAAAACCATTCAGCTCCATGCTTTTTTCACCTAAAATGTCTTGGGTATACATCTAGAGCTGCTTCATTCTATTTACTTATTTGTTTATTTATTATTTTTGGTTAACCCTCACCTGAGGATATTTTTCCATTAATTTTTAGATAGAGTGGAATGGAGTGGGGGTTGGGGGGAGAGAAACTTCAACGTGAGAAAGACACCATTGATTGGTTGCCTCCTGCATGACCCCAACCTGGCCTCAGGGATTGAACCTGCAACCCAGGTACATGCCCTTGACCTGGAATTGAACCAAGACCCTTCAGTCCTCAGGCCAATGCTCTAACCAGACTGGCCAGGGCTGCTTCACTCCTTTTAACAGCAATATAGTATTGGGTATAGCTGTACCATAATTTACCCAATCGATTTCTTATGGATGGACATTTACTTTCTATCCAATTTTTTGCTGATACAAATAATACTACACAAAACATTCTGATACATATAGCTTTGGGAATACATGCACATATTGGTAGGATAAATTCCTACAAGTTGAATTGCCTTTAATAATTGCCAAATTGCCCTTCCAAATGTTGTACCGATTCAGAGACTCAGTGATAAACTTTGTAATCACCTATTATAATATACCTTTGCCAACATAAAGAATCACCAACTTTTTGATCTCTGATAATAGGTTTAAAAAAAGGCATTGTAGCTTTAATCTCTTACTATTTCCCCTTCTTTGCTTTTATGGCTTTTATGTTTTATGTCATATTTAGAAAGGTTTTCCCTATCCTGAGATTATAAAATAATTCTCTTAAATTTTTTTTCTGCTGCTTTAGTGGTTTTACTTTTTTACGTTGAAACTTTTGATGCACCTCTCTCCTCCTAACGTGCTCAGAACTGAATGTCATTCTCCAGCACAGGGCACAACACAGGTCTCAAGAGATTTCCCACACATGCTGCAGAGAAACTCCTCCCGGTTCTCTACTTATCACATGCATTTGCCTCACAGGGGAAGCAGAGGTGAGGATTTGTTCCCTGAAAATACTCCAAAAGACAGTTACTCCTGAACCAAATTAAAGCAGAAAGCCAAGTTCAGATCACTTACTCTTGCACCGTCTCCCATCCTCTGCCAGAACAAATCCCTCTGAGCATTTGCAGATGTAGGAACTGCCATGATTAATACAAATGTGTTCACAGCCATGGTGGGTCGACTTGCAGACATCCTTCCCTGAGGGAAATGTAGGGGTGAGCAATCCCATCAATGTAGAAATGAGCTGGTTTGCATAGTCAGGTCAGGAGAGAGGGCGAAGGAATCCATTTTCCATCTCTGTTCACACCTCCTCTAAAACATCCCTTTTCATGCTACTATTAGGACAGGGCATGGTCCCGGGCACGCTCCCTCAGAAAGCTCTCACACCCTCAAGCCTGAATAGTAAGGTGGGTGATTGGTGTCCTGAATTTATTATTCGTTTTTCAAATTGTTCAACCTGCATTCAGTTTTGATTTCCCCCAAATACTGATTTTTTCCATAGACATCCCAAACACTCCTGTTTTTTAAAAAATTATTTTGCGAGAGTGAGGAAGGAGAGAGAGAGAAACATCAATGTGAGAGATTAAAACTTTGATTAGCTGCCTCCTGATGCCCCCTTCTGGGGATGGAGCCTGAAACCCGGGCTTGTGCCCTGATCAGGAATTGAACTGGCAACCTTTGGGTGCACAGGAGGATGCCCAACCAACTGAGCCACTCAGGCCAGGGTGAAACACTTGTTTTAACAGTCTAATGAACATTTCTCATAAAACTCTTCAAAGTAGTTACAGCCCTTCAATCTTTACAACACCCTGTGACCAGAGGAAGGCAGGAATAATTGCACCCAACTTACAAATGAAAAAACTCAGGAAGTTTCAGAGTTGCAGCAAATCGATGACACAGAAGAGGCACGGTGTCTGGAGGTACTCCTCCGTGGTGGGAAAGCCTACGGTTCTTTTCTGTCATTAGCTCCCTAAGAGGGGAAGCTCCCCACAAAGTTGCAATCAGTGTACTACAGAGCCCTCTAGAAAGTGGGAATGGAGGGATTTGATTTAGCAATTCAATTCCAGAGGTAGAAGTTGTACCTACTAAGCAACACATGGGTTGAATGAATAAATGGTGCATGTGTATATGCTTACATTGATAGAAATAGAAATAAAAGCATGGACAAACGGCTTGGGAGACATGGTCTCCACAGAAGGGACGCTGCAAAGTGAAGGTGAAGCAGGATGTTCAGGGAGCCCCGCAGAGTTAGGCCAGGGTCCCACGGGCCTCTCAGTAGTCAGTTCTCGCTAAAGGTAGGAGCCCTTCTTCCCGGGGAAAGATGAGAACAGTGAGTTCCATCGAACCCAGCTTTGTTGACACGTTGAGTGACCTCGTTTATCTCAAAGAAGTATGTGAGGAAATTCCCCCAAACCAACCTCAAAAGCAAATCAGTTTATTTTGCCTTAACTAAAAAAGGGCCATTCTGCTCACCGGAACAGAGTGTTACAAAAGCAGGTGGACAGTGTTGACCCCTCCCTACCCCACCCAAAGTAGGGATGAACAGCTCAGAATCCCACAGTGGAGAAATATCCTTGCCTGTGCTCTTTGTTTTTTCTCACCTGAGGATATGTTTATTGATTTTAGAGAGACAGGAAGGGAGAGACAAAGAAACAACAGTGTGAGAGAGAAACATCGATTGGTTGCCTCCCATATGTATCCTGATCAGGGACTGAAGTTGCAACCTAGGTATGTGCCCCGACTGGGAATCAAACCTACAGCCTTTTGGTGTACAGCAGTCTAGATGTTGCAATTAAGGTATTTTTCAGGTGAGATTAATATTTCAATCAGTAGACTTTGAGTAAAGTAGAATATTTTTCATAATGTGAATGGACCTCACTTAATTAGTAGGTTTTAGGAAAAAAAGACTGAGGTCCCCCCAAAGAAGAGGGAATTCTGCCAGCAGACTGCCTTTGGATTGAGCCACAACATCAGCCCCACCTAGTACTCCAGCCTGCTGGCCTACCCTGCAGACATCAGACCTACCAAACCCCATATTCCTTCCTCCTTTCCTCTCTCCCTCCCTTCTTCCCTCCCTCCCTCCCATCTCTATCTCTCTATTTCTCTCTCTCTCTCTTTCTATCTTTCTATTTATCTATCCATCCACACACACATACATCTATAAATGTATGCATGTATATATACACACATGTGTGTATAGATGTGTGTGTGTGTATATGTGTGCGGGTATACATATGTGTGTACACACACACACACGTACATCTTACAGTTCTATTTCTCTGGAGAACCCTAATACACCTAAGTAAACTCTCAGAGTCTGTTCTGAGTGATACATAGAAGCAAATGGATCAATTAAACCCACAGAAGACCCCTTCAGCCCCTCTACCCTGACTTCTAAGGGCTTCAGAGAAGAAAAAGCACTGTAATTAACCTCTGATCACTGTGACTGCTCACAGAGATTCTAACTCAGTCCCATGACAAGCTAGGCACTGCCAAGGCTCTGAGCATCCACAGAACTCCTGTGAAGAGGGACAACAGCTGGGAGAAAATGAAAAGAAGCAAAGAACCTGACAACTCAGGACCTCGGAGGGGAAATTCCTAACAAAGAGTCTACTGATCATTAGAAAACACTTGGGAGTGCCCATGGCAGGGGCTTGTAATTGTGACCTGGATTGCAAAGAAATATTTTAAAGATAAAATGAAGCTACATAACCAAGTCCCACAGATAGACAAGTTCATCTCTTCGTGGCGGTCACTCACTTCTGCAGCGTTTCCCGTCCTCGGCAAGCCGGAACCCCTCCAAGCACTTGCAGATGTATGACTCGCCACTGGTCACACAAACGTGCTCACAACCATGGTCTACTGCTTGGCAGACGTCTTTCCCTGAGGACAACAGAGCAAGTTAAGACCATTTCATCAACGTAACGTTTCCCTGGGCTTCACCTCGGAGGATCCATTCATCTCGGCCCCCGGAATCCAGAGCCCTTTGAGCTCAGTGATCCATGGGGAAGAGGGTGAACTTGAGGATGAGGTTCAGGGACTCTGATTTGAGCTAACTCTTCAAACCTCCTCACTATCATCACCATCCTCATTCACCAGAATCTAACTCAGTGTCTCATAAAAATGCAGTCCATCACCAGCTTTCTGTAGATGTAGCTTCTGATACCAGATGGGAAACACTTTTGGTATGGTTACTTAGGAAATCAAACCTCCCTTTAGATTAGCAGCACTGAAATCTAATTTTGGCTTTGTCCCTCCCATACTAAGTGATGCAGGAGAAGCACTTAGCCCCTTGGAGCCTTACCTTTCCTGTCTGAAAAATGAGAGGAATAATTCCAGCCACCCTCACTGCAATCACGAATTGCCCTTTGAAAAGTGCTTTGAGAAGCTGGAGAACAAGGTGATTGATAGGGATGGAAATCACTTGCTCAGGGTCACACACTCCACTTTGATCACACAGAGATGTGTCTTGGCCCCACCTAAGAGGCTTTGCATTTTGAGACGTAAGAATGGCCTCATCATAAAGTGGTCTCTGAGGGATTTGTGCTCTCAGAAACAACAATATTACTAGAAATAAAGAAACAAAAGCTCATAGAGTTTCAGCAACTTGCCCAGCTAATAAGTGGCAGAGAGAGAAGTTGACAGAATCTTGGGTTTCAGACGGAACATCTTTTCACTAAACCATTCTACTAACCCACTGCTTCTTGCCACGGGGTATAACGTGCAACTTCAGAGGTAGCTCTGGCTGTGACTTTTTCATTTGTGCATTTGTTTGTTTTCTTTTTTTTTTTATCCTCACCCGAGGACATTTTTCCATTTTTTGTTCAGGTAGAGTGGGAGGGAGAGAGAGGAACAGAAAGAGAGAGAGAGAAACATCGATGTGAAAGGGACACATCGAGTGGCTGCCACCCGCACAACCGACCAGAGCCGGGGACAAACTGCAACCGAGGTACGTGCCCTTAGCGGGAACCGAACCCGGGTCTCTCAGGACCACAGGCCGACGCTCTAACCGCTGAGGGCTGTTTGTTTTCTTTTTAATGGGCTTTACTGTTTAGGACAGTTTTGGATTCACAGAAAAATGGAAAAGATAGTACAGAGAGTTCACATAAACCTCCTTAGCCAGTTTCCCCTATAACACTTTCCATTAGTATAAACATATTATAATTAATGGAAAATATTGATACATCAACAAGTATCAATTAAAGTCCATAGTTTGTTTGCCCTTCCTTAATTTTTACCTACTGTCATCTTTCTGGTCCAAGATCCCACCCAGGATCCCACATTACATTTGGTGGTCATATGGCATTGAACTTGAGAGTCACTGACTCACACAGAGATCGGGATGGTGGATCTCATACAGGCTCAGACACACTGATGTGAGCCAACTCCAATAAAAACTTACTTCTGCAGGTTTTTCCATCTTCACGGAGTGTATACCCTTCAAAGCACTGGCACACAAAAGAGTCTTCATTGCTTACACATGAATGTTCACAACCATGGTCCCCCAGAGCACAAGAGTCCAATTCTGAGAACCGAGGTGGAATTAGAGAAACAGAAGAAGGAAATGATTCAGACACTAGTGACTTATTCGATCTTCAAAGACACATCAGACACCTTAAATTAAAACATAGTGCACATTTCAAACTAGAAAGCATGTCTATGAGCAAAAACTTGCAAATGGTAAAGAGCACATAAATTAAACAACAGTGTCATCTTCGTAGGAAAAAATGAAGAAAATACATGAAAAGACAGTTTACAAAAGGAGAGAAACAAATGGCCTATAAATATTAGAAAAATAAGTTCCACTTAATTGGTTATCATATAATATAAATAACGTATCTACACATCTACTTAAATATGCATGTATGTATCACACTTAGGTAACCCATTCGTTCATCTGTGCATTTAGTTAACAATATTTCACAAGTCAGGCATTTTCCTAGGCTGGAGATACATCAGTGAAGAAAACAAAGTTTCTGCCTTTGTGAAGCTTACATTTGGCAGCTAGGGTGGTTCCCAGGGAAGTAGGGGAAGACAATCAATAGACAAACAAATATATGTCACACAGGGGAAAGTGCTGCGGAGGAAAAGCAGGCCAAGGGAGGCAGAGCACGCCTGCTGGGTTGGAGCACAAGTTCCTCTCGGACTGGAGGTCACTCACTTCTGCAGCGTCTCCCGTCCTCTGCGAGCCGGAACCCCTCCAAGCACTTGCAGATGTATGACTCGCCACTGGTCACACAAACGTGCTCACAACCATGGTCTCCTGCTTGGCAGACGTCTTTCCCTGAGGACAACAGAGCAAGTTAAGACCATTTCATCAACGTAACGTTTCCCTGGGCTTCACCTCGGAGGATCCATTCATCTCGGCCCCCGGAATCCAGAGCCCTTTGAGCTCAGTGATCCATGGGGAAGAGGGTGAACTTGAGGATGAATCTGTCATTTCACATGCTGCAGTCAGATAAGGTGACACTGAGCCGAGCCCTGAAGAAAGAGATGAGTGAGTGTGTGGCATCTGGGAAAGAACAGCACCCCCAAGAAAAAATTTGCAAACTCAGAGGTAGAAGCATGCTTGGCACGTCTCAGGAAAGGCAAAGCGACCAGTGTGACCCAAGCAGCGCGGGCCTGGCCAGGGAGGGATCAGGGACACATCACCCGGGATTCACAGGCAGCGGTTGGATCTAAGTGAGAAAGGGTCATGGGGAGTTTGAGCAGTGGAGTGACATAATGCGATCTGACTTCTTTTCAAAGGGAAGGCTGTGCACAGAACGGGGCATAGGTAGGGACGCCGCATGGAGGGCGAGGGAAAACCAACAGCAATGATCGCAGTGTTCAGACCAGGCTGGGGGGAAGTGGTCAGATGGTGGCCCTAATTTTTTTTTTTTTTTTGGTTTATCTTCACCTGAGCATATTTTTTCCATTGATTTCCAGAGAAAGTGGAAGGGAGGCAGGGAGAGAGAGAGAGAAACATCGATGTGAGGGAGACACATAAATTGGTTGCCTCCCACACGAGCCCTGACCAGGGCTGGGGATCGAACCGGCAATCCAGGTATGTGCCCTTAACTAGGAATTAAACCTGAGACCCTTCAGTCCACAGACCAGCACTAACCACTGAGCCAAACTGGCTGGGGCAGATTGTGGCCCTGTTTTAAAGGTAGAGCCTACAAGATTCGCTGATGGTTTGATATGAAGAGTCCATCTTCATATGGACATGATGCATTTCTGAGCATCACCTCAGCCATTTCAGATGGAGCGAGAGTTCAACAATGGATATGCACTGAGTTATGAAGCAAAAGCTCTAAAGATCATAATCGCTTTTAGAATCAGGCACAGACCATACATTTTTCTCTGAGGCATTTTTGCAGTATTCTGTTTTGGAGGGGAGCCCTGAGAACCACCCCCTGGGTCAGTTAAGGTAACCCCTTGTATTCTCATTCACCAGTGAGGGAAATGAAGGTTAATGCTTGCCAAGACCAGTTGCTAGTAAGTGATAGCATCGGACTAAAAGTGTAATCTTCTGACAACGAACCCTCTGTTCTCCCCAACTTCGCTGCATTGCTGCATTCTCAGGTAAGCTTGCGAACAGGAAGGGGATTCTGCCTGTCTTCCTTTGAGCAGAAGCACAGCCAAACTTCTTGAACCATGGGAAGCACGAAGTGAATGGAAATGATAACTACAAAAGAGAGTCGAACGGAGTCGGCCCCTCCTGTTTGCTCTGAAACAGCACTTGCTGCGCTAGGCACTCTCGAGTCATTATTAATTCAGAACATTTTCTCACGTAGTCTTGAGTGGAAATACAATTGAGGGATCCGCAATACAGACAGCTGGCTGGCTGTGGAGGTAAGCATTTTTTCCCCACCATGAATTTATATTAAGAATACTCTATTTTCCAAGGTAGTAAAATAGCTGTAACTCTTTTGGGCCAGCCTTGTCAAGCCATAGTCCAGACAGAGCTCCCTGAGCACATCCCTTCTTTCTAGTTCCCCCATGCTCCGGGCTGTCCTCTTAGCTGCAGCTCACACTTTCACCTTAAAGAGTGGGTGAGTCTTCCCACAGAGACCCTGAGGGGCCACTTACACCCAGGCGTTCCGAGCCATGGTCTGAAGCTGACCTGGCTGCAAAGCACTGTTTCCTTCAGAAGCCTGCGGAGCCCCAGCCGCTGACCACAGGGTCATGTCTTCACCCTTGGCTACCGGTAACCCGGGAGCTCCCAGCCTACTTGCTGAGTTCTCCTGGGCTTTCACATTAGCAGCTGTTTGGAAATTTTGTTGTGTGCATGCTGTAAAAACATGTGGAGGGTTTGGGTTTTTAACCTTTCCCCTCCTGGTCCCCTTCAGAGCACCTGATCAAGAGAGAGTAGCACAGTTTAGTTCTCAGCCTCAGACCAGCATTCAGAATCCCCTGCAGAGACATTTTATAAGGCAAAACAGGCCTGATTCGAAATTCAAACACAGTAGAGGGCAAATTTCCCCTATGGAGGGGTTTCTGGCAAGATTTACCCAAGTTACAGACCATGCCTGTGACCCAGCACCCCACTCCTGGAATTCCCTCCTACAGACGGCGCTCCCACATCTGGACTCGTGCACCGTACGAAGGGCCAGCAACAGGGGACGAGCTAGACAACTGTCCGCGGTGACATTACACAGCTGTGAGGGCGAGGGCATGCTCTCCGAACGACGGGAAGAAACCTCCAGTAAACACGATTGCGTCAAATAAAAAAAGGCATAACCAATGGACACAGACAATATTTGGGGGAAAGCAGGAGTGAGGTGAGACAGGGAGGAGGGGGTCAATGGGGGAAAAAGAGGGGACATCTGTAATACTTTCAACAATAAGGATAAATAAATAATGTGATTTGGAAACTAAAAGAAAAAATGGTACACCATTTTTGTCTGTGTATGTAAAAGGAGGAAATAAGACTATATATTTGCATTTGCTTTTTTTCACCTAATGAAACATGAAAGATAAGTAATAAACTAACAAAAATGGTATGTTAGCTATCTGTTGCTATGTAAGAAGTGACCCCAAAATGTAGCGATTTAAAACGACAAACATAACCCCACAGTTTCCAAGGGTCTGGGACCCAGGAGCGGCTTAGCTGGGTGGCTGCGGCTCAGTTTCTCATGAGGCTGCAGCCAAGCCCTCAGTGGTGCTGCAGTGAGCTCAGGCTCCGCTGCCCTGGAGGAACTGCTCCCGAGCCCACCATGAATTTACTGGCAGCCTCTGCTCCCCACTGGCTGTCGCCTGGAGACTTTAGTCCCTCTCCAGGTGGGCCTTTCCAGCATGGCTTCCCCTGTAGGGAGTCATCCAAAAAGTGAGAGCAACCAAGTGATACACCAGCATTATTTCCATATGCTATTGGTCACACTGACCAACAGCGGAGGGGACTAAATAGGTAAGTGAATACCAGGAGATGGGGATCACTTGGGCCATCTGGGGGGCTGGCTGCCACCAGTTACTGATAGGAGGTGGAAGGAGGGAACAGAACAGGAGGGCGAGAGTGGAAGCAAAATTTCTTAATTCATCTTTTGGTTTTAATTTTTAACCATGTAAACCTCTTACCTATTCTAAAATTAAAATAAAAATTCTTAATGGGAAACAAAAGATTCAGTTAAAAGTACATCTCTCTCTCACCTTTGATACCCTCCATCATTTTAAAAAAATATATATATTTTTACTGATTTTTAGAAAGGGAGGGAGAGGCAGAGAGATAGAAACATCAATCAATAAGAGAGAGAAACAGCCATCGGCTGCCTCTTGCACGCACCCTATCAGGGATCAAGTCCACAACTCAGGCATGTGTCCCGACCAGGAATCGAACCAGTGACCTCTTGGTGCGTGGGATGACACTTAACCACTGAGCCACACCAGCTGTGCCTCCATCATTATATTTAAAGGCTGCACCACCATTCATATAGCCAGTCTCTTACTGGATGGGCATTTAGGTGGCTCCTAGTCATTTGCTGTTACAGACACTATTGCAGTGGGTATTCTTGTTTTGCAAACAATGTGAGGTCATATCTGAAACATAAACACCCTAAAGCAGTAATGCCTAGTTAAAGGGTTTGACCATTTAAAAGCTGATAAATATTTTCAAATTGTCCTCCAAGGAGGTTATAGCAATTAATGTAAGATAATTTCTGTATCAGGGGATCCAGGGTGCTGCCAAGGCTTTGGATGATTTCAAAGCCTCATGGATGATTCCAGTAAACTACGAGGGGTGAGAAGCTGGCAGTGGACCTGGACCTGATGTTCAGAGACCTTCCCAAGTGTCCAGATTATTCTGTGCCTCCACCATCATGAACTAAACGCCATCATCTTTGCCTTGGGCTGTTGATCACTTACTGATGGGTTTCTTTTTCTTTTTTTAAACCTCTTTTTTTTTTCACCCAAAGATATTTTTCCGTTTATCTTCAGATAGAGTGTGAGGGGGCGGGTTGGGGGGGTGGAGAGAAACATTGGTTGGTTGCCTCCTGCATGACGTGGACCGGGGACCAAACTGCAACCGAGCTGCGTGTCCTTGACCTGAATTGAACCCGCGCCTCTGGTCCACAGGCTGACGCTCTAACTGCCGAGCCAAACCGGCCAGGGCAGTTACTGATGGGTTTCTGCACACCACTTTCATCCCCTCCAATCCACTGTCCCCCACTCCGACTCAGTCTGAGTCCTCCTTCCATCCTGGAATGCTTCCTGAGAGTCTTGGATGAGAGAGAATGCTTGCAAGATTCGCAGGAACCCTGCACCTCATCTGGCCGCTCTCCCCCAGTTCCGAGTACTTTCAGACGTCAGCACTTCAGTACTGAGCCAGAATTCCTCCCATCACAGGGCTCTGCACGGCCACTCCTCTGCCTGGGACACTCCTTCCTCCATTACCACTCCCAGATGTCTCCACAACCTCCTGGCACAGGACCTCAGAGCACCAGGCATCTGCCCCTCGGTCGTGTCACAGCTGTCACTCAACAGTTCATATGTGGTTGGTTTGGTTTGTGCCCGCCTCCTCCCGGAGCGTGCTTACATGGGCTCTGATCTCCAGAGACCCTGGCCTGCGTGTGCCCTTCTCTCCTGCACCTCCCAGCGCCAACTTAATGCCTGGCACTCAACAGGCCCCCAGTAAGTACCCACTGAGCACAGTGAAACATTCCTGTTTTCCACTCTGCAAAGTGAGGGTAACAGACCCACCTCCTGGGGTTTTTGTGCAGATGTTTTACGTGAGAACCAGCGGGGTGCGGATGTTGGCAGTCCGCTGGGCTCCGCACTCTCTCCCACACACCTGCCTTACAGAGTGCA